TCTTTTTGCCAGTGGTGGCGGGGGGGGGGGACACCCCTCACCATCCCTCTCCAAAGGGGGAGTTTGGTAAAGAGAGATGAAAAAACCGATTTGTACCTTCCTTAAAAGTTGTCCTAGCTCGCTATTCAAATATCTATATGCAATCTTCACACTGCCGTACTCTAACGGAACTATCAACTCTATGCTTTCATCTACTCCATCTATCGTATAAAAATTACCACTACAGTCTGTTATTTGAAATTAGCATCTTCAACTATGAATTACAGGTGTTTTTGTGCTTACCAATTTACTTTTAGTCAGCCTTTATGTAATAAGTAGCTTGTGAATTAAAGTAAAAAAGTTAAAAATTGTAGTTAATTATTGTAGCTAATTTTGTATTCTCTTTCCCGGTATTACTAAAATTGCAAGTGGCGCAGTGTGAGAGTGTGACTCAGTGGTAACGTTGTAATCATATTTTTCGACCTTAATCCCAGGTTCATTACACACCAAAAAATTCTGAATTTTACTGGCGATGTAAACATCCATGCATGCAAACATTCATACATGTAAACTTCCTTTTCACGTAAACTAGCAGCTTGCAAGAAATGTTGTAAACAAAAGTGGACAGTTGCATACAATATGTGGAATATTGAATGACATGTCTCATAAATTTACACGATCTATAATCTAAACTTGTATGATATATGACGCTCCATTTATGTGCATCATAGTAACGGAAATTTACACTACTTTTTTTTTGCTGTGTAGGTTCGTAGCAGGCTAATCGCGTTTAGCATATATAAATAGTAATTCAATGCTAGAAATGGTTTTTCGATGATTCCGAAAATATATAATTAAAATCCGGATATCCGACTATCCGAATGTCCGGATATCCAGAAATTACTCAATATCAACAGAACATAATCATAAGATTTACAAAAAAACTTTATTTGCATCATGGTGGAGATTGGGGTTCCATGCCAATCAATGGCAAACCAAATATTTAACGGCTGTAGACTACTCTGACGTTTGTGAAATACACAAGTATTAGTGCAGAACTCGGGATAAATTATAAGTTTTAGTGCAAGAAAACCTTTGAATTTACCCAAAGTTCTGTGTGTGTGTGTGTGTGTGTGTGTGTGTGTGTGTGTGTGTGTGTGTGTGTGTGTGTGTGTGTGTGTGTGTGTGTGTGTGTGTGTATTCCTTCTAACTCCCACTGGCCGGCAGTGTTATTATGGAAGAACTCTCTCTACAATGTTGCATTTATGGTCATTGTAAACAGGGAAAAAGGGACAGGGACTAAAGGGAGTTAGAAAGTGATAGCTCTATTGCAGATCCAGCAACCCATTTCAGAATGTCTGGAGAGTCACGCCCATTCCGAGGTTACTTTCACTAACAATAAACCCCGCATGTATGTATTACATCTATCAATTGTATATTAGTATCACACACACACACACACACTTCCAGCTTCAAAATTTTCTTTTGAATCCTGGCACATATTTAGTTTATGTTTTTTTTTAAATTGTAAAAAGTATTTGGACTGGTCTCACCATGTTAATTTGATCCTCCAATCCATGGGTTCCGTAGTATCGAACACAAATTTTCTTGCACTGTCATGGTCATCTGAGAGGATGTTCGCATCTAGTGTTTTCCCCAGGAACCGTTCGCGGGCACCAGTTACATCCCGTCCAGTCTTGGGCGTATCCAGCGAGGCATTTTTCAGATAAGTCGCAATCTCCGACACCGGCAAGAGACCAGCAGCCGAACACTTTTTCAAGCGGAAAACTTGCTGATTCACGGCAACGTCTGCCACCGAATCACCACCAAAACTCGCGACGGACACATTATCAGCACTTTCCCCAGCTAATTCACTAACCGGACCGGGTTAAAACTCATCCACGATGACGAATCTTTCAATAGAACTACACGCCGAAAGTGTGGCATCCAAACTCGGAGAACCGGGCTCCCGGGAGGCAATGAAACCGACACCAAAGAATGGAACTGAAGCTGCAACGTAGATTTAGGAGGTTAAACTCAAGGTCAACCGAATCACTCAAGACGGACCTTTTTTCTTGCTTCTTTTTTTTTTGTTACTGCATGTTTCTATTTTTCACTTGCTATATTCTTCTGCAAGCATAACATAGACGAATTCAGTACCCAAAAGCGATGGCTGGCACAAGGAATAGGAAGCAAATGAAGGTCTATTGCTGCTTCTACTATCCCTGGTGGGAATTTGACGGCAGTGTGACTTGTATATAGAAAGTACCCGAACAAAGTAAAATAACAACCTGATATCATCTTGAAAACAAGTCTTGTTATTCCAGATATAATTTTGTTTTCAGTTGCTATCGCAAAACTAATTTAGTTATAAACCTCCTCTTATTTTGTTATCAGTTGTTATCATGAAAGAATATGAAATGATTCAAGGTTAGTTCAAAACTTCAAATATTATCCGCATGGTATGAAAAAACACACTGCTAGTCATATTTTAGTTATCAACGTAAGGCTTCAATACCACATCAATAAAATAATGTGTAGTAATTTGATCACAAGATTTATTATCAAGATGTCTTCAATGATTACTAAATCAGTTAGTTTTGTGATATCCAAGAAGTATTTTTTTTGTTAATTTTTTTATGTTGGCTGTTTATTCATCCACATCGACAACACGTTCAGTTTTCAAATTTTGATAACCGGGTATCAGAACATGTTATCAATCTGGTATAGTTCTTTGCTTTGTGGAAGGTAGGAATCGGGTCGAGCATTTCCTTTAACAAACTCATCCGTTGATGAGGTTACCACCCCTGATCGCCGGTTTACTAATGTACCTCCGATGTGCGAAAACGGTTGTATCAATAGTTACACACTCAAGTTGCCATCTGACGTAAGCATCTTGTCGATGGTTTTGAAACTGCAGCTATTATGTTCCTTTACCCAGACAGTGATTAAGATTAAATTCATTGAGAAAAATGATCTATTTACACTTGACATGTAACAACAAACATAGTTTACCCATTTTTGGGTCAGTTTTGAACGTCCCACCCTAATAAGAATAACCACAAAAGAGACCTTAACGACGTGTTCGGGATATCCTTCAAACCATTTGTGGGATAGTTTACCCATCCGGGGTGCAGTTCGTGTATGGTATTTGTTTATTAGGGCAGTTCACTACCCATTTTTGAGTACCGTAGACTCCCGGTAAGGGAACTCATAGCCTAGTCAGTAAAGGCACGGTATTACCAAGCCGGAGGCGGCGGGTTCGATTCCCAGTCCGGTCGAGGGAATCTTTCGGGTTGGAAATTTTCTCGACTTCCCTGGGCATAGAGTATCATTGTGCTTGCCACACAATATACAAATTCATGCATTGGTATTGGCATCGAAAGTTCTCAATTAATAACTGTGGAAGTGCATTTAGAACACTAAGGTGAGAGCACGCAATAAGCTAATATGCGCTAAGCAATAAGCTTGAAATGCGAACAAGAAGAAGAAGAAGAAGACTCCCAGTGATTTGATTAAAAATAGGCATTCCCGAAACCTCCATCATTCTAAAAAGGGACTTTTCCCGACATTTTGACATTTGCATCGGGGGATCTGGAACTGTGGTTGTAAATTCCAATATGTAACGCATCTACGTCACATTTATTTTGATAATTTGCACCCACTTTCTGGTTAGTTCACCCTAAACCTGGTGTAATAGAGCAAAGGGCTCATTGACATACAGTGTATCGCAAAATTGAGCGTACACCCTAGTGGAACATTTTTTAAAACATTCTGAGTAGATTTTTTTAAATTCTTGGCTGGTGGTTAAACAGACATTTATTGATTTTCGCTATTGTTTTGGACTTTATTGGAAGAACCTGTATGAAATGAGATTTATTTTAAGTAAAACGCTCGATTTTCAACTTTTTAGTTAGTGGTCGGATTTTAGAAAAAAATAGTGGAATATGAATGATCTTAATTATGACTAAAAAATAAAAAAAATTCAAAAAGTTTAGTTCATCATATTTCAAGATATTAAGGTTTTTGAAGGGAGAGGCGTTTTTCTCAAATAGCTCTTATTTGTAATAAACGCAACCAAATAAGCCCAACACTGTTCCAATAATTGAAAAAAATATGATGATTTAGCAGCCAGAAATTCAAAAATGGATCTCTTTAAATGTGATTCTTCTAATATTTAAGGACATCTGTACGTTCAATTTTGAGATACACTGTATATGAACTAGTTTTGAAATTTCGATATAAAAACATTTTTTTAATGGTTTTTCAATGCTTTTTCAAAGCAATAAGAAATGAGAAACATTGAACTGATTAATTGCAAACCTTATCAATTATTTGACTAGTAGTTAACGATGAACCGAAATATGCAAACCAAAAAGATTATACGCCGCCATGTTGATTCAAAGATGCGTAGGCACAATACTGTCCATCGGTGCTCCTTGATATTTGCCCTTCAAAAAGACTGAGAGAAAAGTGACCCATATTTTATATGAAAAATGCCACCAAAAAAACATTTTATAGATAGTCTCAAAATGACGGGAAAACTCCCCTCTTTCGAATGGTGAAGGTATAGAGAATGCTGATTTATTTGTTTTAATGTTTTTTCTAACATAGACACTGGGACCGAGCCGTTACTGACTATGCTATCTGAGGCAAACCCCTCAGTGCATTCATTAATTCTTCAATACACGACGTGTAAATATTTGCATGATTAACAAATCTCAGGTAATCATGACATTTTGATCTTTGAAAACAACGTGAATGAGAAAAAGAGACCTACTGCGTCAGGATCTGGCATGATTACCTGAGTTTTGTCAAAAAATCGTAAATATTTACTCTGTGTGCAGTGAAAAATAGCTCCACCACTAAGCAAGTAATCCAAGTAACTCACAACATACTCGTTGCCGCGGGTAACCATCACCCCTATTTATAAACGTAGGCATATGCTTCTCTGCGACTACCGGCAACAACAGTGCCAAGTAAAGAGTTAGTCTTTCTCGGGAGTGTAAAAAGTTCCATCCATGGAGGTAAATAATTCAAAAAAACTTGCAGCGGAGAAATCTGTCCACAAGGAACAGGAACCGGGAGTGATCAGCAATGATGTGCTCACGAAAGCCATCGTCGAACAAGGTCACAAGGGTGAAGCTGGTCGATTGGCACGCATGGACGAAGTTCAACTGGAATCCATAACCGTCATCCGACTGGAGTTTCAAAGTGAGTGATTTCCCATCTGAGCTACATCATATCAGTGTTGTACGTAATCGAAATTGCATTACTTTCAGATATTCTGAAAATTGATCATCTTTGGGTATTGAAGAACTTGGAAATTTTATCGCTGGCATTCAACAAAATCGACAAAGTTGAAAATCTGCATCGGTTGACAAAACTGAAAGAACTTAATTTATCGTTCAACTTCATTGAAAAAATCGAGAACCTTGATCAGCTAGTGCTGATGCGCACGCTGTCACTGTTTGGAAACCGAATAGAAAAATTGGAAAATTTGGATCGGTTGGAGAATTTAGTCATTTTCAGTGCCGGGAAGAACAACATCAATACTCTGGAGGGACTGGAAAGACTGAGGTTTCTGAAAAATTTGCGTTCTTTAAACTTGGCAGAGAATCCGATAGCCACGGACAAGAACAAACCTCTGAGACAGTATTTGGCGTGTTTGTTGCCTCATTTGAAATACTATCAGTATGTTCTAATCAAGCCAGAAGAACGAGAATCAGGAAAGGAATTGTTCACGTAAGGGAATTGTGTTAGGAATTTTCTGCTGTTGTAAAAACAAATTCTAATTCCAGTCGTGAGCTGCAAGATATTCTTGAGAATGAAAAGTTTGAGATTATCGAAAGGAAGCGGATCGCAAAAGAGAAAGCAGACGAGGTTTACCTCTCGAAGAGTTTCGTTGAGCATTTGAATGGACATCAATTATTTGAATCGCTTTTTACCGGTGACCCGGACGGTGAAGCTCTGCTAGCCATTGGCGAGGATGCTCTTGAACTAAAAACTGAGTATGCAGGTCAACTTTCGTGCCCTCGTGGTCTGTAATAATTTACAATCTAAATATATTTCACAGATACATGACCGAGGCGTATACATTCACGCAGCAAATCTACAAGATTGGCCTGGGGCAATATGAACGTCGCCAGCAGGAAATCCAACTGTACAACCGCTGCATCGAGATGGAACGAAAGAAAGCACAAAAACTCGGTCAAGAGTGAGCATGAATTATGTTGTTGATTTATGTTTGGAAGATCTAATAGGTTTGCCTCCATTGCCAGCATCATCAACCGTTTTTTGGAGGTCTACAACCGCTTGTGCCCTAAGGTGAAACAAATCGTGACTGATCTGAGTCGGGACACCCTCAAGCGGATTGAGTCGGTTTTATCGTCACCGTCGTCGGCGCATACCATCCAACCGTTTTTGGATGAACTTGCGCTAGCCAAGGACGAATTCAACTCCATCTTCGAGGACTCGTGGCACACGCTGATGAGCATCGAAATGCAGCTATTCGAGCGAACTGAGGAGGGCAATTCGAATTTCGAAAACACCATCAAAGAGATGACCAATGAGTTCATCGAGCTAGTGCAGGCTCAGTTCGTGCTGCTACGTGAGGCAGAGATTAACTTTAGCGATGCGCTCATCGGAATCGTACAACAGTTTGTGACGTTCAAGGCGGCATCCGGCTATGCAGGGGATATTCCTGAGGCACTGCAAGAGGTATAATAATTGCTTATGAGATAAAGTGGGAATGCATCGTAGTTACTTTCCTTGGTGTCCTACTAGCTTTCAGGAAAACAAACAGCGAAGGCTTCGAGATCTTACACTTTCGGTCACAATCTTCTTATGATCCGAAATGTGTTCAGGGGTTACATATGAGGGGGTTAGAACAAGGGGGTTTCCTCATATAGTGGAAATGACTCTAATTTTGGCCTATGGATTAAAGGTTGGGATCATCACAAAAAATCTGCTATTTATCAATTTTATCTAGATTAACACGTGATTGGGACGGTACTTATGGATATTTTTGGTCGCTATTGAAGATTTAGTCAATTGATGAATTTATGTATGAGTCCAAATTAGGGGCATTTAGGCCAACATAACATCCATTTCCCGTATGTAAAATCGATCAAAAAATCGTTTTTTTTTTCAAAAATTGTCCAATTCGATTCGAATTAGTAAACACGTGATAGTATTAGTTTTAACAAACACGTATTCGTAGCTCATGTTCGTTGACCGCATTTTATTCCACGCGCAAAACGAACTGTAAAACTTGCAAAGCGTATTTCTCGAAACACTGAGTTGATTTATGGGTCCCGCGATATCTCAGGACTATATGAACCAAATTGGCTAAAATTTGAAATTAGACTCACAAGATGTATCCTGTGCGCATGAAAAAGCCGGATTTGGAAATTACATTTAATATTAAATGATGTGATGATGATGTGAATAGAACCCACCATCAATGCAAGGATTACCAATGCCTGCAGATGCTTTATCGGTTGTAAAGTTCTGCCTGATGGTTTGTTGCAGCAGGGTGAATCAGCTTCATTGAAGACCTTTGGAAGACAAAACGACCACATAGCCATCTGTAATCAATAAATCCTTTGATTCCCTTAGGCTTCCCCTCCCCAACCCAATATAAAGGGTTATACGGTCAAAATTTGGTCAATATCAACTTGACGTATTTCTTTCAATTTTGCATTTAAAAAAACCTGAACACCCCTCATTTTGAAGGTGTGTGTGTGTGTAGAATGTTGCTCCTATTTTGATTTTGGAATTCACTCTTCAGTTGTCAAAATGCCATCCAAGCAAGAAGAGCAGCGTATCAAAATTTTGCTCGCGCATCGCGAAAATCCGAGCTACTCGCACGCAAAGTTGGCAAAATCGCTAAAAGTTGCCAAATCAACCGTTACAAATGTAATTAAAGTGTTTGGGGAACGTTTGTCGACAGCCAGGAAGTCTGGATCGGGGGGAAATCGAAAACCGGAAGCCGCTGAGACGACAAAGAGAGTTGCCGGTAGTTTCAAGCGAAACCCTAACCTCTCTCTCCGAGATGCCGCAAATAAGCTGGGTGTATCGTCTACAACCGTGCATCGAGCCAAAAAACGAGCCGGACTATCGACTTACAAGAAGGTAGTGACTCCAAATCGCGATGATAAACAAAATACGACGGCCAAAGCGCGATCCCGGAGGCTGTACACGACGATGCTGACGGTGTTTGACTGCGTGGTAATGGACGACAAAACCTACGTCAAAGCCGACTACAAGCAGCTTCCGGGACAGGAGTTTTATACGGCAAAAGGAAGGGGAAAGGTAGCAGATGTTTTCAAGCACATGAAACTGTCAAAGTTCGCAAAGAAATATCTGGTTTGGCAAGCCATCTGTACCTGTGGCTTGAAAAGCAGCATTTTCATAGCTTCCGGGACTGTCAACCAAGAAATTTACGTGAAAGAGTGTTTGAATAAACGTCTGCTGCCTTTCCTGAAGAAACACGGTTGTTCCGTACTGTTTTGGCCGGATTTGGCATCTTGCCATTACGGTAAAAAGGCCATGGAGTGGTACGCCGCCAACAACGTGCAGGTGGTTCCCAAGGACAAGAACCCTCCCAACACGCCAGAGCTCCGCCCAATTGAGAAATACTGGGCTATTGTCAAGCGGAACCTAAAGAAGACCAAAAAAACTGCTAAGGGCGAGCAGCAGTTCAAGGCAAACTGGCTTTCTGCGGCGAAGAAGGTGGACAATGTGGCTGTACAAAATCTGATGGCAGGGGTCAAGCGTAAGGCCCGGCAATTCGGATTTGGAAAAGCGGAAGCCTAACTGAATATTTTTCCTGAATTTTATACTAATTGAACTTGAAAAAGAAATTTAATTTGATTTTTTAAATAAACGATTTCACCGATTTACACGCGTTTTCCCTTGACCGAATTTTGACCGTATCACCCTTTATAATATAATGTTTTGAAATATATGATGAACAGTAATGTTCCAATTTTGTCAACCCATCTGCATCCGAATTTTAATTATTTGAGATAATAGGAATTATCATTTTAACTCTCTTTCTTTGATAAGATAAATTTGAATTGTTCTTGTTTTTTGTTTTAATATTATCAAGAAGGGTTGACAAAAGGGTTATTTATGTTTTATCATATGTACTCAAAAACGAATTATTTCAATGAACCAACGAACTTACCTTTTGATGACGACTTAACCCATCCGAAATTTCACTATCACTTTCCTTATAAATTGCCTCTGATTTTTGCTTAAATTTTTTCATATTCTTCGCTAGCAACTTCCAGACTCTTTCATCCATCCCCTCATACCTTTCAAAATTTTGCTTCAGTGTATCCTTCCATGTAAAGCTAGGTTTACTCTCTTTTTCCCAACTGAACTTAAATTTATAAACTAGTTTGACCACTCACGGTCCGCCGGCCGGATATGAACATAAACTTGTATGGAAGTATCGAATAGTCCTCCTTAGGCAGGTTTAGCGCTCCGATTTTATTTAATATTAAAAAACATAAACATATTTTTATCTATTAATTTTAATCCACTTTTCAAAAATCGGCCTTTGCCATGCACACGGGACCTGTTTAACGAGCTTTTCCCCTAAAAATGAGCCGATTTGGTCAAAGCGATATCGTGGGACCCGTTTTTCAAACTACTAACTTTAAATTAGAATTTCTCAGCCATTTTGTTACCAAATGTCTTCATATTTATTTTGCTTACAGTTGAAAATGTATATTTTGATGCATTATTCATTATACGCCTCAAATACACTGGAACCTCCATTTACGAACCAAACCGAGGGTTCGTAAATCGAATTAGTGCGAAAAACATCTCGTTATTTGGGATTTACGTCTTAAAGAGAGGTTTTTGAAAATATTGTCAAATACCCCACAATATTGGTATATTTGGAATCGTAATTACCTGAAGGCAGTGCTGATATTCGTCATTGTTAGCTCAAATGAGTGACCAAATAGAATTGTCAACAATCACCGTGTATTGTTGAGATTTTGCAGCACTGCCTGTAGGAACCGGAAATCTATTTCTGACGCCATTTTATGCGTATAACGGCAGTATAAGGACCGGAAACCCATGTTTGATGCCAAATTTATAACTAATATGATTGCTTTTATTTAGGAAAAAAGTGAAAAATACCCCACAATATGGGTATTTTTGGAATCGGGATGACGTGTAGGAGCCGAAAATCCAATCTTGCATTTCAAAATGGCGTCATACATGGATTTCCGGTCCCTACACGTCACTCCGATTCCAATAAATACCCATATTGTGGGTTATTTGACAGAATTTCAAAGCCTTTATCTGACCAGAAGCGGCTGTCTTAGATTTCAAAATGGCATCATATCGATTTCCGGTCCCTGCACGTCACTCCGATTCCAAATATACCCATATTGGGGGGTATTTCACAGTACTTCCTAGTTTCCCAAAATCGCAAAAATACTCGTCATTTGGAATTTACTGTGTAAACGGAGGTTTCAGTGTACAAATTTCACAACTTTGCTTCAATCAAAAACAAATAATATTTATTGCATACCCCTCGCAGTCACTAGACGACAAAGATGTAATAAGTAACCTGGCAGCCGGAATGCGTGACCACCACATGCAACTAATTGATGCTCGGGAAGACAAACTGATCAATAGGAGCCGCAACTGGGTCAGAGAACTGTGTGATGGACTGCAGAAGTAACTTAAGACGTGGATTCGATTGAACAAGATTATTAATCGTGATTTTATATTTGCAGATCGGAGATCAAGCGTAATCGTGCCAAAGTGCTCGAGATCACTTACTTTTTGGACCACCACCGTCAGCTATTCTATGCTTTGATTGAGGACGTCATACCCGTCAAAGACGACAAAAAGAGAATGATTTCGAAAGTACATTTTTCCGATGAGTAAATTTGTGCCCGTTGCTGTCAATTTGTGTAATGATTTCGTATAACATCTTACTTTGTAATATACAGGGTGCGTGACGAATTTTTGCAGTAAATGACATATTTGAGAAAAATTACACCAGTTAGCTATTCTAGCAATGAATGTTATGTGATTTATTTTCTTTCGCAAAATATGGAAGTTGTAACTAATTTTATTCAAAAAAATCGCCTTCCCTTTCGACGACTGTAGCTAGACGCTTCCGGAAACTGCCATATGCACGTTTGACAATGTTTTAATCCATAGATGTCATCACTACCTTGATTTTAACTTTTAGGGACTTAAGTGTGGTGTTAGGGGTTCTATTGGTATTCCGTTCGACGATGCCCCGTACAAAATAATCCAAAGGATTGATATCGGGACTGCTTGGGGGCCAAATTTCTTTCTCCCAAAATTCTGAAATATTTTCCGCAAGCCATTTCTGTGTTTTATTAGCAGTATGAGCAGGTTCTCCGTTTTATCACTTTCCCAGGCCTTTTTTATATTATACACTGTTCTTTCAGACACATTTATCCACCGAATTATTTCTATTACGCTTACTCCGGCGCGCAACAAAGCGACAGCGGCTGACCGATTGCTCTTTTGTTTCGACATCTTTACGTTTACTCAACACAGTTTGTTTACATCTTACACCTAACAGTATGAGCAATTCAGTGCTGCCAAATATATCTAAATCATGATCCGCAAGCATGAGAAATTACTATTTGAAATTTACTGCAAAAATTCGTCACGCACCCTGTATATTGAATTCAACCGGCTTGTAATCTGAAATAAACAGGAAAACCAATATCGGATCCAAAATTAACTCTTCGATGCAAAACAAACCAGCTCCAGGTCAAGCTGGAACACCAACGCAAAAAGGATTTCACCGTTACCTAGTTTAGTGGACATGAAACATTGAGATTGATTGTGGCTCTTTGCAGTGATAGTGACACACCTTCGGAAATAATATGTTTGTGTTTTTGTTAAAAAATGGTGCAAACATAAAGCATATAAAAACAAATCAATCTGGGTCGAATAGTAAAGCGAGAGAAACAGCTGAACGATCAACAACATCACAGTTGGAAAAAAAATGGCATTCAAAGTGAATATAAATGTAATGATAGTGACGCGAACATTTAATTCTTATCGTCTGTTCTGTTTTAGTTTGCTCTGTTAACTGCTTTGGTGGCTGCTGTTAGCACTGGAGTCCAATGCACGGACATGCCTGATGTTTTGCTTTAAATGGGTCAAGTTTAAGTCGACCAAATTTTGCTCGTAACACCCTTTAGCATCATTTAATATAATGTAAAGGTGATTCCTTGTAGAGTCCACAAATGGCCGCCACGTAGACTATACATGCACTTGCACTTCGAATTTTCAATTACACAAATCGTGGAAATCGGTGCCCCATTTCACCTGAAATGCTACTTCATGTATGTTGCAGTGCAGCAAACGTGGAGTAACAATTTGAATGTGGTACGTGTCGTAGAAACTGATATTTGTGCACCTAAAGCTTCGAAGTGATTCCGAGAATAAAGGATGTCACAGTGATTCACCTTAATAAAATACTTCATGTATTTGTAGCACAGCCAAATGTGACGGAACGCTTCAGGTATTAAATCATCAAATATTATCAGCTGCAACATCTTCTATTTGTTTTGTTTTTTTGTGCTATTGGCTGAGTAAGATTAAACATTAGCATTCGATGGGGAAGCATGCGGTTGAATTTTTGTTAACTAATGGTCAACTCTGTATGTTAGAAATCCAAACTTTGCATGTTTAAAGCCCTGTCAATTTATAATCGGTACGCTTTCAATTGGAGGCTTCTCAGAATCTGTTTAGGCTAGAATAAAACATATTCAGAAGAAAATATTATGTATTTATTGTAGTTTAGAGATACAATATGGGTTTTTCGATTTTCATTCCTCTCGAATGAAAATTCGAACTTTGGGCTTGATACGTGCCATCAACTGCTGCACAAGCTGCTGATCAACCTCACCGGCTGCTTGAAATAGCATCATTAGCAATTTTTCCACTCTTCTTCAGATTAACTTTGACGATACCCCTATACATTTCGATTGGCCGGGAATCTGGGCAATTTGGGGGGTTCATCCCTTACTTAATGACGTCTACACTATTATCGCGATACCATTGTTCGCATTCTTACTGTAGTGGCATCTCGTCAAATCCGGCCAAAATTTGACGGGGCCCCGGTGGGACCTAATGAACGGCAATACACGTTTTTTTCAGGTATTCGTTGATGTATAACTGTCCGTTCAAATGGTAGGTTGTGATAAAAATCGGAGGCTCCTGGCCACAGCTTACCGGCAAACTTGTCCGCAAAAACAAATTTATGAAGTAATGAAATTTGGTTGTTTGCGGAATGCTGTAAATAAAACAGCAAAAGGTTATCTTCCATTTAATTCCACTTAATTAATTTTGGTGTCCATGACAGATACGTATTTCGACAACAATGTGCAGTGTTCATCAGTGTCATTCCCACTAAAGAACTTATCAAAGCCTAACGCCCTTAAGTACTCATTTCCTAGGTAAATTTATATATCTTTGGAATAGCTCCGCGACCCCTGGCAACATAAAACTTCTGTCCCGGAAGCTGTTTGAAGTTCAATTTGACATAAGTTTCATCAATAAGGATGCATCCATTGAATTTGGTCAGCACCTGGTAATACAGCTTTCGGGCCCACGCTTTGGCCGTAATGTTTCGCATTACGGTACGATTCGGTTGCTAAATAGCCCGATATTTGAAGAAACCTTCCCGAATGCGTACATTCAGAACTGTACTGCCAACAGCACCGAGTTTGTTGACTACATTCACGTCTGAAATTCTTCATGACGTTCTGACGCACTTTCTGGTTCACTGTACCGCTTCGACGCCTTCACAGCAAAAAAAAAAATTTGATATCACGTCAAAGTGGATGCACTACAATCATGTTTAAAATATGGTGTAATATTACTTGCTAAAAAGGACAAAATTATCATTAATACAATGCATGCACTGACATTACGCTGCTTTTACTGCATTTGTTTATTTATGTGGTCATAAAAATTACATGAAATTTTCGACATGATTGTAGTGCATCCACTTTGATGTGATATCAAAATTATTTTTTTGCTGGGTTTTTTTTTTTAACTCTTTATTTGTTCCAAATTCAAAATAAATTACATTTCATTTTTAACCTAGGTGCTCCAGTTACTGCAGTAACGTACCAGCCTTAATTGTTATGATATATATCTAAGTGTTTTTACATTGTTCATGTCTTGGCAATTAAGTACTTTAAACAGGTTTTTTTCTAGCCTGCATGTCAGTATAACAATTGATATCTTAAAACTAAAATCTAAATCTTATCTAAGTATAAAGGGAATTAATCGTTGCAATTGAGGATTGCAACGATTTTTGCCTGAAATTATTCATTATTTTGTTGGACATTTGTTCTAAAGTCTCAACATTCGAAGTTCTATGTACCTCGGTAGTACTGTACCAGGGAGGCAACTTCAAAATCATTTTCAGAACTTTGTTCTGAATCCTTTGAAGTGCTTTTTTCCTGGTAAGGCAACAACAAGACCATATTAGCACAGCGTAAAGCATAGCCGGTCTAAAAACTTGTTTAAATATTTGAAGTTTATTCGTCAGGCAAAGTTTGGATTTCCTGTTTATAAGAGGATACAAACATTTAATATATTTGTTACATTTGGCTTGAATGCCCTCAATGTGATCTTTAAAAGTTAATTTTTGGTCAAGTACTAATCCAAGATATTTCACTTGGTTTGACCAGGAAATTGGAACTCCGTTCATAGTGACTATGTGGCTACTACTAGGTTTCAAAAACGAAGCTCTAGGCTTGTGTGGAAATATTATAAGTTGAGTTTTGGAAGCGTTGGGAGAAATCTTCCATTTTTGTAAATAAGAAGAGAAAATATCTAAACTGTGAAATGCCTGTGTCATCAGCGAACAAAGATTTGTGGCAACCCTGAGGCAAATAAGGGAGGTCCGAAGTGAAAATGTTATACAATATAGGCCCAAGAATGCTACCCTGAGGAACTCCTGATCTAACAGGTAGTCGATTAGATTTGGAATTTTGATAATTTACCTGCAGTGTTCTGTCAGTTAAATAATTTTGATCTAATTTCATAATATAAAGTGGAAAATTAAACTTTTTCAATTTAGCAATCAAACCTTCATGCCAAACACTGTCGAATGCTTTTTCTATGTCTAGAAGAGCAACTCCAGTTGAGTGGCCTTCCGATTTGTTTGAACGAATTAAATTGGTAACTCTTAAGAGTTGATGAGTAGTTGAATGCCCATGGCGAAATCCAAACTGCTCATCTGCAAAAATTGAGTTCGTATTGATGTGAAGCATCATTCTATTCAAAATTATCTTTTCAAAAAGTTTACTTATTGAAGAAAGCAAACTTATTGGACGATAGCTAGAAGCTTCAGCTGGATTTTTATCCGGCTTCAAAATTGGAACAACTTTTGCATTTTTCCATTTATCAGGAAAGTATGCCAAATGGAAACATCTGTTAAGTAATTTTACCACCTGGAGCTTTCATATTTTGAAACTTTTTAGTTATAGACCTTACTTCGTCCAAATCAGTCCCCCGGGAATCATCAAAAATATTTTCCCGAGAGAAAATATTCAGAAAATCCCGAGCAACCTGATTCTCAATAGGACTAGTAAGACCCAAACTGAAATTATGGGAACTCTCGAATTGCTTAGCAAGTTTCTGAGCTTTTTCCAAATTTGTGATCAAAATTTTACCACCTTCTTTAAGCGCTGGAATAGGCTTTTGAGGTTTTTTTCAAAATTTTTGTGAGTTTCCAAAAGGGTTTGGAACTCGGGTCTAATTTAGAAACATTATTTTTAAAAGTTTTGTTCCTCAGGGCAGAGAATCGCTTTTTAATTTGTTTTTGCAAATCCCGCCAGATAACTTTCATGGCAGGATCGCGTGTTCTTTGATATTGT